CTGAGTAGCGAAATTAATGTAAACTGAACAAATGTTTACCACTTAACTGAACAGTTCAGTATCTCTACACTGAGGTGTTAACTGGGACTCCAGAATTTAAAGTTCTTTAAGAAGCGAGAGAGAGACCACCACTGGTATCTTGCGTTTCATAGTGTCTTTAATTTGCTTAACAAACTTAATGAAATTAACTGATAACGCAACTACTGGAAGATGATTTTTACTATAATGATTCAAGAACAATAATCTCTGAATATAACTTGACAACAGTTTAACCATATTTATATCAATTGGTTGGATCATAAAGTAAAAAGAGCATACTGAATGCAGCTGAACTTTGGAAGGAATTCTGACTTGTGTTTGCCAAAATGTTACTGAAAAAAGGGAAATTGCTTTGATGTATCCTGAACTTAAAAACAACTTAAAAATCTCTCCCTCGCAATAGACATGGTATGCCTAAAGCTTCAGCATTCATTCAGCTTCAGCACATTGTTGTTAGTCTTGGGAATTTAATGTTTAAAATTAAAGCAAGAACATTGCTTTCAGTCTAATTGATTCAATACAGTAATATGAATGATTTTCACTCATGTAGCAGACCTTATTTCACTGGGGACTTTAAACACAACCTTATATTTGAGGTTCAAGTGGAGCCAACACACATACGAAAGATGAAATTTTGCTACCGTCCATGCAGTACTGAGCTATACAATCTCCCCCCACCCTCCCCACCCCCCCACCCTGGAATTTTTTAATGCAAAACTAAATGTAGATTTTTGCAATTCAGGCAGGTCTGTTGTGGTGGTACTTTTGCAAGAGCTGTGATAGGAAGACAGTTATAATGATGAAGTTTTCAGTGTGACATTTATAAAACTGGAGCTTAATCTTGTAAGACTGATCAGTAATATCTGCTTATAGGCTTTCATTATGGTCCCTAAAATACAACTTTCAGGAACACATTAATATTTACAAATCCAGTAGTATAGATTTCTTGAACAGTCTCTCAGGACTTGAGGTGACCTCTCATTAATACATTTTAGGAACAGAATTTCTTGAATTCAGATCCATCTCAATTTTCTAGAGTAAATGTCTTTCTTACCCGTTCTTCTGAAGCAACAAATTTTTTGTCAGATACAACGATGTGATCATGTCTATTGTAACTGTTATGTTCTCATCCTGATTTTGATGCAAGCCCACTTTTCTCAGCTTCTCAAATACTGTGGGTTTCTAGCAAAATCAAGTACGACTGCAGGCTATCAAATTTTTATCATGATATTAGTATTCTTACATTGAAAGGAGTGGCATGTCTCCAGCTAGACACAATTGTAGCTGTTCTATCATCACATACCTCCTTACTTGCCCACTCTCTCTTCCACAACAGCTTTTTTTGTCCTCATGTTAATATTCCTGACACGGACAAAATCACCTCTGCCTGTAATCGTTGAGAATCCATCATCAACTTGTAGTCATTGACGCTGGAGCTGATGTGACCGATAGTGCCTTTACAAAACCAAGGAAGAACTGTTTGTAAAGCTCACAGCTTATATGAAGTTTTTGTTTATTTGGATGGCTATGCCATAGAAATAGAACAGAAAACATCTCAACCCACCTGATTAGTTAGATCCTTTTTACAGTACTGTTTCCACCAGATGAAAGCTAGGATCCAAAAAGTAGCAGTACCTTGAGATATTCTTTTGTACATCTGCTCCTGTAATACAATCAAGGAATATTATCGAGTGTTAAATTGATTTTCTGCTGTATATTCAGTGGCTATTATGATGAAGATGTCATGTTACCGATCAAAGCAATCTCTTTGCAGACCGGCACTGGGAAAGTCAAGGGCAGAGTATAACCAAAGGCATTTTCACCTGTTTATAGAAAAAAGTGCAGTGAAAGATTTGTCTGGTGGCCTTGATGTGTATTAAACTCCATGTGTATCATTTAAATCCTTGGGCTGTTTTTAATTTGCGTTTTCTTGGAGTTTTCAGTGAGATTGGTATTTGCACAAGGTAGAATACTTCCTTGCCTTTGGAACAGAATGCCAGAGGAAACTTCTCTTGCCTTTGCTCCTGTGCTTCAGGGTGGAAGGCAAAATAATTAGTTCCATGCAACTAGGAATAAATCACCAAGGTTGAAACATGATAGTGCCTGACAACTGGTAATGTTGGAAAAAAAGGTTTCGGTAAATCATTATTGATGAGGAAATTGGCATGCAGAGCAGATGATCCCACTGTATGTATGTGTACCTTTACAGTAAGCTTATTGTTGCTAAATTATCCATAGATTGCTGTCTTTATCCTGCAAAATAAGTATATATGGCAAGAATAAAGATTGTTCATCATCTACTAAGAGTATGTATTTTTTATTTTTCGTTTTTAGAAATTTTGTACAGTAATATATATTCCCTAGGTTTGTAGAACATTTCAGAGGACATTTATCATCCTCCAAATATTTGAAGACTAAACAGTGCTGGTTCAATCCTTGTCCTTTTAGGTTTTTCAGAGGGCTTGCAGATTCCATGGCAATTTATTTCATCGTTTTTTGGGGAAAAAAGAAAGACCCTATTTTGGTTATCTATTTTATTTCTATACATTATTTAAGAACTAGTTCAGAATTACTTTTTTGGAGGGGTTGGGTAGGAAAAAAGGATGGTAAAACAAATATGACATATATTATGTATTCTTTTTGAAAAGGATTCTCAAACTACTTGCAAGACCCTAATAGCAAAATTCTGTATTAATTAACTGTATGGACAAAATGTAGACAATTCTTTCCTTTTTTCTTCAGATTGTATCATTTTGGAGAACCTATAGTTTAGCTATTATGTGTTACAGTAGTGCAGGTTTGGGAGAAAAATGGAATAAAGGCAATTATTGTTGATTGTGATTTCATAAATGAAATTTTGCATCTATTATTATACAAGCGTTTCAATTTGGATATATCAATTGATCCAGTTCTAGTTTTCTGTAGTTTTAAGGGCATGTCCTTGTTGGGGACCATCAGTTAGCTGACCCTGCAAAAGGCACAGTTGTGAGTAGAGTGGTTTTTCAGGTAGTGCCTGGCTATTAGTGTGACAGAACACTTCAGTATACTTGCTTTTCCCTGGATGATAACGAAAACCAGCCTTCATTACTCCAGACTGAAAAGTATGCATGTAGACTGAAAGAATAGACAGATTTGTAATTTCTACACATTGCATTTCTATTTTTTATTTTTATGTTTTGGTATACAGGACGGTGCAGTTGCAATGGGAAGATGCAGCAATCATATACAGTACGGTCATACAGCCGTCATCTTACTGCGATCACAGTAAATAGTGTTATTGAAACATGAACATTCATGCTGTGCTTTGTGCAAATGCTTGTGCTGCCTTGGCAAGCGCCTTAATATAGGCTGAAGATGAATTATTTAGCTGTCTGTTGTGTGCGGTTTGCTCACAGCAGAAAGTCACCCTGCACTATCCCCTCTTCAGCCAGTTGGAGCCTTTGGGAGAGTGTTTCGCCTCCAGAAGTAAACACGAGTCTAAGAATAGCTCAGCCTTCTTTGTAGTATATTTTCACGGTTGGCTGTCTAAACAGCCAGCCTGTCTAGACAGCTTATGACACTGAAAGCTCGTAAGGTCAAAAGCAGCCACGTAGGCTACTCTTGGGGATGTTACCTCCTCGATAGCTGTACAGGTGGGCACCAGGAGAACTTTTCAGTCGGAAGTACTAGGGTTCTTTCTGAAGCTCCATGGGCTACAAGTGTATGCTGATAAGGCATTAAATAATAGATATGTGTGTATAAAGGAGAATTTTTCAACTCTCACAGTCATTTCTGACTCACACGATATGTCACCTGTTATGGTTTTTTGGTGCTCTTTAAGGTTTGTTTTATACTGTCATTTGTGTTGTGCCTAAATTTAAATTTTAAGCATAACTTGGAGGCCTAATACTTTTTTCTAATGGAAACTAATAACAAAGATAAACCATAACCAATTTTGGTCCATTCCTTAAAAAAATAACAACAAAAAAACTTACATAGTTCTTCTGCTGTCAGTAATGTATAGGCTGTGTACAAATCTGGATCATAAGTTTACATGTGCTTGCATAAGAGAAAGAAAAAAAAATGGTGTGAAGAATCTTATGCCAGGACACTCCTTCCGTGGCCATGGACTAGAAAGGATCATGAACAAGAATTTCCCTGAATTAGATTGTTCTTCCTGCTAGCTTCCACTTGTAACACATTGACTATTATTTGTGACTAGATATTCAGCCTCCTGCAAAATCTTTTACATTTGTCATTACAGATCTAGACCGTTTTCTAAAACTATGTTCCAGATGTAATTTTAATAGAGATAGCATAGTAGTAGTGGATGTGTCTAAAGAGCCATTTGCTCTGTAATCACAGCAGGTCAGTTCTTCCAGGGCTGAAGAGTAAAACACGGGGATAGTTGCTGTATTTCCACCAACCGGGGAAAACAAGTCTGATGTATTTACTATCCAGGGAATGATGCTTTGTGTTAGTCCACCGTATAGCAAACAACATGTAAGATGAAAAAGCGACATGCCAGTACAGTGAAGAATGGGACAGTACCAAAGGAAATACTTAAGAAGTTGTAAAGAAGTATTATTTTCATTATCAAGTGCCTTTATTGGTTTATATATGCAGTAAAGTTTTTCTCAGCTTTTTTCCTTTCACATTGTTAATACATTGATCATCATTCAGTCACACAGTGCCCAGCATCCTTGGAAGTTAGGAATAATACCCTTTGTTTATGTTGTTCTTGTAAATATTATTTAGACTTTCTTGCTGTGAATTCTTGATTATTGGAAAGATTGCTGATTCCTTATTAATATTTGATGGTTTTCGTTCCATTGCTTGATGTTTTGATGTAGAATTATAGGAACTAGGCCTTTGCCTACTTCCTTTACTTTAAGAATATTTTTAAGAGTTTAATATACTCTTAAGATTAATTTGGATGGTTTTGCTTGCTATTTTCTTAAAATTTACTCCTCTTCTTTAAGATTGAAAATCTTCAAGAGCAGTTAAGAGACAAGGAGAAGCAAATGAGCAGCTTAAAGGACCGAGTGAAATCCTTGCAGGCTGACACCACAAATACTGACACTGCCTTGACCACGCTGGAAGAAGCACTGGCAGAAAAAGTGAGTATGGAAAGCTGAAGTCCCTCCTGCCTTCAGAAGGTCCTTCTACTAATAACTTCCCTTAAGTTGTCTTTTCCGTGTGTTTCCTGGACTCTGTGTACAAGACTGAGTACAAGACTGAGTTGGGGTTCTTCAGCCTGGAGAAGAGAAGGCTCTGGGGCGACCTTATTGCAGCCTTCCAGTACTCAAAGGGGGCCTATAAAAAAGATGGGGACAGACTTTTTAGCAGGGCCTGTAGCAACAGGACAAGGGGTAATGGTTTTAAACTAAAAAAGGGTAGATTTAGACTAGATCTAAGGAAGACGTTTTTCACAACGAGGGTGGTGAAACACTGGAAGAGGTTGCCCAGAGAGGTGGTAGATGCCCCATTCCTGGAAACATTCGAGGTCAGGTTGGATGGGGCTCTGAGCAACCTGATCCAGTTGAAGATGTCCCTGGTCATAGTAGGGGGGGGGTTGGACTAGATGACCTTTAAAGGTCGCTCCTAAGGGGACCTAATAGACTCAGACTATTCGGTGATTCTAAGCCATCTCTAATGCAATGCCGCAGTGACATCCCTTGTCTCTGACGGCTGAGGAGGGATCAGGAGTGCGATGCTGCCGAGATGTGTCCCTCACTAGAGGGCACTGCAGGATCTGCGGAGTGGCAGCCGGGGCTGCTCTCCCGTACAACCAGCCCAGGGTACACCCTGTGTACGACCAGGAGGGCATGAGGGTACAGCTGAGCCACAAGCTATTGCTCTGGTCATTAGCTGCTTACCAGCATTTTGTGTGAAAGAAATTGGTGTTCTCGCAATGTTGTCTCTTTACATGGTGCATCTTCGGTACATTTGTGGGATGCCTTACATTTCAGCTGTGGGTTCTTCTGCTTTTTTCCTTTTCTTTTTGTTTTTAAAGTCTGGCTAATACCTCATTTCATTTTATCTTCTCTGGTCAGATATTTTAATAAGAAACCACTTTTAAAGTTTTGCTGCATCAAATTGAGTTTTAGTTACTAATATTGAATTAAAATGAATAGTTATCCTGATGTAGCTCTACTTCAGTCTCACTTTATTTGCAGCTTTATTGTTCTCATTGTACTTTTTTTAAGCTTGCCCAATTCTCAGGAGATAGTGGACTGAGGGAACAGCCTTGTCTATTCTTTTTTGGTGGGGCAGTTTTTTGGAATTACTGTTGTTTTTTTTTTTTTTTATTCCTGGAGAACGAAGGTTACAGCTCCTTTAGTCTGTCAGATTCTATAAATGTAAAGTTATGGTAAAGCATTCTCTGAGGTTGGGGAATTCACTTGCATCCCTTCAGCTTCCAAGATAACCAAAGTTCCATTGATAGTTGATGTATAGAAAAATTGTTTTGTTGCCTTTTCTTACTGCACATTGATCCTGGTGTCACAGATGTGCTACACTCCTTCCTCTCTGAAGGGAACTTAACTGTACATTTTGAAAAAATAAGATTTAAATAAGTAAGGAAGCAATATGTAATGTGTCCTGATCTTGGTTAATTTTGATTATCAGAACCAGATAAATTGTGTTGCATTGTAAAAAGTACTGCGAACTTTCAGAGATACAGAAAGCCTAGTGCTTTTTAGCAGCGAATCCATAGATTTCTCAAGTTTCCTGCCTCTTGAGGATCTGTTTTACAACCGTAAAGAAAAGAAAATGGCAATATCCTACACTCCTCCTCGTGTATAGTATTTAAGAAGCGTTGTGGTAAGAAGTCGCAGAAGTTGAGCTGAGTAAGAGGGATCTTCTTCACAGAGTGCTTTCTTTTGTCAGGAAAGGACCATTGAGCGCTTAAAGGAACAACGTGACAGAGATGAACGAGAAAAACAGGAAGAGATCGATAACTACAAAAAAGACATTAAGGACCTGAAAGAGAAAGTCGGCATTCTACAAGGAGATCTCACAGAGAAAGAGGTTGACCAGCAGAATGAATCTGTTGTATTAGAATTTTTTGTTGTAGATGTATGTGTTATATTTTAGATGAAGAAAACTGTTCCATTATAGTAATGGCCCTTCAGCAAGTTAATCCAATAAAATAGATTGATTGAGAATTTTTCAAAGCATAAATATTTCAGAACCACCTTTTCATGGATAGCACACAGTCCCTTATTTGCGACAGTTATTTGTATCAGTAGTGAATGACCAATGGTCAATGATACCATTTACTGGAACCATGCTTATGGACAGTTGAAGGCAGAGAACAAGCTTGATCCTGTCTAAATATAGGGAGGAAAGGACAGAGGTTGATCAAAGCTGTGTGTGCCAAAAGCATGCAGATAATGTTTATTCCTTTATGCAAACAATACAGCTAGTTCTTTTGACTCTGAAGAGACTTTTCTTGATAATTGAGTTGGTTGTTGGTAATGAGCCATTTGGCTAGACAAATTAACCTAATTATAATAGAGAGATATAAACAAATTCTCTGTTTCTCTCTTGGAAATGTACCATTCAAGTCTACTTACAGTCTTTTTTCAAAACCAAATCAAAGTAAAACAATATGAAAAATACGTATCCAGAAAGTGCTAAGATTTTGTCTACAGGGAAGTCAACATTTGACAGGAAAAATACCAACCCAATAGTGGTTCTGAAAACAAGTTGTTGAGACGTCTTTTGAAGATGGGTGGCATGAATCAGTTTCACTCAATAACAGCTGTATAGAGAAAACCTTTGAACACTCTCAGCTTTAGATACCATGGCCTAATCTGTTAACCACATACGATTTTAAAACAAGATTTTAAGACCAATTTTTCTTGAACATGACTGTCTCTGAAGCACTACTTCCAGTTTACAGAATCTTCCATCTTTAAAAATGATTTTAAAATTAATTTAGACAAGGTTTTATTTTGGTCCTGAAAACCTCAATTAAATCAAGCTGTCTTAATCAGTGACATGAACATCCTGACAAAATATGTTGTTCTAAGTTGTGTCTTGAACATAGTGTGAAGGGATAGGAAGGAAATAAAGACAAAAGATTTTTACTCTTTATTATTGCACATAAAGAGTATTTACTTGATGGTTATTTTACATCTTTTATTTTAGTCATCCTTACTGGATCTGAAGGAACATGCTTCATCCTTAGCTTCATCAGGACTGAAGAAAGATTCAAGACTCAAGACGCTGGAAATTGCCTTGGAACAGAAAAAGGAAGAATGTTTGAAGATGGAAACTCAGTTGAAGAAGGTAATCTTACTTCGTAGTTATATATGTGGTGTAAACATTCATCATTAGAAAAATTGGCCATGTCTACGCAGAAAACTTTGGGTCTTAATTTTGAATTGTGTGAATTACTTTTCAATAAGTACTGTGAAATTGTGTCCATGCAAACCATCTTACAAGCTAAGCCCATCAGAAAGTAACTTTCAGACACTGCTGCTAATTTTGGACTTCATTTACATGCAAGAACGGTGGTGTTGACCTTCTTTTTAACAGGTTCTACGAGTGAAAGATTTAGTCTGCTTCAGTATAGTTTGTAGCAGTAATTGTGCCATTAAACTGGTGTAACAGCTAAAAATTTAACAGCTAAACATTTCACATATCAAGTATCAATGCATGTAGGTGTCAATGCAATAAATTCACATGCATGATTCGCCTGGCCCATTGCAATGCATAAAAGCAAATGAAAAGAATGTATCATTGGTGAAGTGTGTGATCTTTTGTTTTAATCTCATTGCTAGTCGCAGCTGATACATTGGTAAGAGTTTGTTGTTCAGAAGAGTAATACTCTACTACAAGCAAGCTAATTAATTTGGATGGAATCTTTGGGTTATACTTTCATTGCAAGCCTCCTTTATTTTAGTTGTGGGTAGCATAAATACTACACTGTTTAGAGGAATGTTGATTTGATTTTGACTTTTTGGTTTTAAAAGAGCAGATGATGAAGCAGCACAAAACATACTAACTGAAATAGTGATAACACTTCTATTTATAAATCAGAAGAAGACAAAAGACAACACAATTTTTAAAACAAAATTAAGTCTTGGATTGTGGAGTGCTAACTAGTTCTTTACATCTACCCAGGAAAAGGAGGAGTGCCCATGCTGTAGTTTGGAACTCTGTCCTGGTTCCTCTAATGAACATGAGATCAAATTTTGAGTCATCAGTTAAGACTTGTTTAGGATTTCTGTTGTGTGGGTGCAAGGTGAGTGTTAATGCACCTGAGAATTCTGTGTAACTGAAACTCCATATACACATATCTAGACCCCTGTTTGCCCTTCTTTTTAATTCTATTACATAAAATAAACAGTTCTGTTGTTCAGTACCAACAAAGTGCAATAGCAAGAAAAGGTAGTTGTGCACATTTAGTCAGACTCACAGGCTGTTTTCAGTGTACTATACAGCGGGTGAGTATTTCAGAAGTCTTTAAGGACCCTTTCACTTCAATTTTCTGTCATGAATTGCAGTTTCACCCTTTGTCAGTGTGTTACTGATAATGAGATGAGGAATATATTGTAGCTAAGATTTGCCAGAGGTTGTTATAGCAATTGGATGACAGTACTAATTTGTAGGTAGACAGATGCAGTGGAGAACACTGTGAAAATTACTTAAAAAAAAAAAGTACTAACTGGGAGGACACATAACAAATAGTTAGGTTATGAAAAAGCAGTGTGGAAATTCAGTTATTTAGGGAATGTGTCTGTATATTTAGAATATGTAAATCTACTGCTTTTCACTGCTTTCCTGAGATTGCTTTCCCCACTATAAGCAGTGAGTATATCAGTAGTATAAGCAGGTGTGGAGGTCGACCAAATCTGGTGAAGTGCTGCTAACTAAAAGGTGAACATGCAGTTAATTTGCACTGCGATGACAGCTCTGTGTTATAATTCCTTTAGGCTTACCTCTGCTCATTCCATTTGAGAGAGGATTGTACTTAATAGTTGGCATCCAGGAACATTACATAAGGAGACTGAGCCAGTTCATAACACCATATATTTTTATAATCTGATCTCTTTTTTTTTCAGGAAGTAGTTAAGAGGGTGAATTATTCTCCTGTGATCCATTTCCTGAGGGTTAAAATGGGAAAATGGCTCAAGTGTGAAGAGACTATTAACTATACGGAATAGCTATGGGACAAATAACTGTATTCTTAATTTGAATCTGAGAAAAATAATGCATATAAATTCATTGTATTGTAAACACAAATAGATTTGCATCTTCCCATCCAAAGAAGCTACCTAACCTCATTCAGTCAGGATGATTTCAGTTCTACAAGCAAAGAAAATTGATAGCCTACCATTACCTATGTGCTGTATAAAGACCTTCCATAATACTGTGGATATCTGCTCCACTGCTTCAGGCATTATTGCTTACTAAGGCATTGGGACAATTGTTTCCTGTGCAGAGACCCTAAAGTACTCTCTCAAACCCTACTGAGACAAAACCATCAATACTTTGTGCCTTTTCTAAATACTGTGTCATGTTGGGCTACTACATTCTTCTCATTCAAGGGAAAATTCAAATTCACTTGAAAGATTTTTTTGGGTGATAAGAAGTCAATCCACAGTAGCTTTTTATAAAGGAATTGAAGCTCTAGGAGCCAGGTAAGCTTCAATGTAATTAACTGTGCATTTGCTCTCCTTAAGCTGTACAAAAGAGCCCACTTCTACCACAGATCCTCCTTGCTTTCTAGAACTAAGTCATGGTTACTCTTATTTACTCAAGAAAATATTGTTAGCAGCTATTTGAATATGTTTTATACTTATGAGTAAGTTTAGATATTTCCTTAATAACCCCTTTTCCAGCTGTTTTTAATGTACCAATTTTTTTTGTTGCTTGCAGAAAAGTAGAAAAATGTATTTTTTAAAAGGCTTTCTCTCTTTAAATGCATTATAGATATTTAGTCAGGCAGTTTGACATTTTCAAGGTGGATTAGTTCCTTGTCATCCTTGAAACAATTATGATAGGTAATCCAGCTCCAACTTAAAGCTTCTAAAAACTCAGTTTTACACATCTGCATTGTTAACCATTGCAAATAACTGTCACAATTAACCTTAAAACTAATGGCTACATAAGAACATTCAGTTTAAAACCAAAATAGAGATTTATTATGTTGAATTTTATTACATTATCTTAGTGCTGTTTTGCATAAGACACATGCAGGAAGGACTCTCTTGTGTAGCTCTTCAGAGCAAATGGCAAAAATCTTTTCCTCTTAGGTTGTTTCCCTTACAGTTTGAACAGAGGTGTGTCTAACATCAATCTTGTTTCCCTTGCCTCTTATTTCCACTGAACAGTGTGAGTACTTTCAGTTAAATCTATTAGCCTTAGAAGTTAGGAAGCTGACAGAAGAGACTGAATTGGACTACTGTTAAGCCATTAGATAAAAAAGATTTGGGCAGTCCTTGGAAAAAAACTCTTGCTAGTCTTTAAACAGTGAGCCTTTGAGAAATCATGAACAGTGCAAGCTATCACTTTTTCTGTAAAAGGTATTTAACTTTACACTAAAATGAAATATTATGAACCAAGTGGAGTGCAGGGGTGCTGAAAAGTTGCAGATACTATTTTTCTTTCCATGTAAGCAGTCTCCATTGTCTGACTAGGTGTCCAATTCTCATTGTTACTATTCCTCGTCTTACTAATGACTGTTTTATATTGATCCATGCCTTAGTAAATAGAACTGCCGTGTTTTTCACATTCAGGGTTGGGGTTTTCTAATAATGATACTATGGTTATGCAAATCTGTGTGCTTAATGTTCTAATTATACTACTGTCATTGCTTCTGCGCTTGGTTGTCAGCCTGCTGCCAGCAGGGATACTATGGGAGATTCTGAATGCTGAAAGGAAGCCATAAATCCCTGTTGAGTTTACATGGCCTAGTGTCCTGCCTTAAATAGTCTCCTTTTTTGCTGAGATGGAATCATTAGAGAGAAATCACACACAGGGGATTCTCTCCCTATTTTTCTGTGAAGTGGTTTTTGCTGTGTGGGGTTTTTGTTTTTTTTTTCTTAGGAAACTCTTTTTCAAACTTCTCTTTTAATGTAATAGCTTTATAGTGAAAAAGTTTCCTTCTGGTTGTTTTTCTTCACAATACTCTTTTCCTAGCATTTTCTGTTTTGTCTTTCCCAGCCAATAGGCTTTGTTTCATTTTGTTTTTCTAATCTGGGAGAGACCAACTAATTCTAGAATATGTTCCAGCAAAGATGAGCGGATTTTTGTCTGTCTTCATTTCTGGGGGATAGTTTTTCTCCCTATAGATATTTTCCTTATTTGAAAGGGACCAAGGTTGGAGAAAAGAAAGAATCCAAACGTATATGTTAACAAACTTCCCTTTGGTGCAGTTCTAGGAACTTTTCATCAGAGCATGTTAGCAGTGATTCCCTGCCAGGAAAATACCTCTAGATTCAACAGGCTCACTCAGAGGATTTTATTTTTTTTTTTTTCTCCTGTGGTGTCCTTCCTTCAAGTTTGGGAGGATAGTATCTTTCAAAAGACAGGAAAAAATGACTGAATGAAGCGTTGACCCAAATTCTGTGTTTCTCAAGATTTAGCTTGGTTAGTCTAATACAGACTCTTGTGTGCTTTTTTTTTTTTTGAACATGGATTTCCTGCCACACCTAAAAATATTACTGATAATATTGGTAGATGAGAAAAAAATACTATTTTTTGTCCTCAGATGGTGATTTATTTTTTCAAGGCAGGGATGATAAATGATGTATTCAGCGTAGCAGCCTAGAAAGAAAAAGGCTACCAGGGAAATCAGGATGTCTTGATAAAATAAAAGTAAAACCCCTGCAATTGTGTTCAGCATTCAGGTAGTGTCAGTTACTGAATTAGTTTTCTAAACCATTTAGCTGTCTTGTAATTGATATAAGTGAAGCACTAGAAATTCAAGTCCTGCTCAACCTGTAAAACTGTCACTTGTAAACCCAAATGCAGGACTACATTAAGTGTTTGAGGACTAGACAGAGATGTTAAACTGATAAATCAAGATCAAGTTTGGAACTTGGACAGGGGTAACTCTCTGTGTTTCTCACGTTTCAAAAGCTGGTTAGTAATGCATGCTAATACCACAAATTAAGATTCTGTCGTCTTAGCAAATTAGTGTTGCAGCTATTGCTTTAAATTCTTTTCTTGTTGCATCTTTTCTTTTTCTCTCTCACACTATTCCTATCCAAATTTTCCCCATCTTTTCCTATCTTCTTTCTCCCTTTAGCATCCTGAAGTTTTATTGAGTCATCCATCCA